TGCTAACGTTGCGAAAGGGGTTAAATCAATTTCTAAACAGAGATCGAAGACATTAGATCATGTCGAGAAATTGCTTTTGCTTTGGATAACTGAAAAACAGTGTGCCGGCGACAGCGTATCGGAAGAAATTATTTGCGAGAAAGTTAAAAGGATACACGCTGATCTCATGAAAAATCAAGCAGAAACTAGCGAGGAAAGCGAGGTGTTTAAAGCCATCCATTTTTTTTACATGAGAACGGATTACTCATTTTTACATTACTTCTTATGGGAAAGGTTTGTTTGGTATACGTCCAATTCAGTATAAGTCCAAACATCGGGAACGGATTAAGGTCGTATACCGAAGTTCCACTGTATTTCTAATGAACTGCTGACTTAAATAAAATGAATGAGTACAACACAAATTTATTCATATTTTCTTTTAATTTCATTTTTAAAAAGAAAGAGATTTATAAAACGTAATTATTTATTCTATTTTCTGCATGCAAAAAATAAAAAATATTTTTATAATAGACGAAAAAACAATGCAAGATTTAAATCGTTTGTTTTGCAAATTAATATTTAGAAGTGATTATTCAAATTAATGAAATCTTGCTTCGTGTTCTGTACGAGATATTTCGTTGTCAAATTTCTCTTGACAAATATGACATTCTAGTTCGAATCCTTCAACTATCACTTCTGAAAATACTTCCAATTCCGGTAAATGTTCCAGTTCGTTCATGTTTAAATATTCGTCAGTATTTATAATTCCAGTATTTTCTGCACCGATACCGACTACAACAGCTTCTTCATATTCTACTGAGTGAGATTTTTGACCACTCGTTGATGGTTTTTCTATTGATTCTTTCTGATCTTTATCTACTACGTCACATTCTATATCTTGAGTATATTCAACGCTTGTCTAAGAATTCAAAAAAGTATATAATATAATTCAGTTAATTAAACTAAAATGACTATCACTATAAATTCAAATTATAATTAAGGTCAACTGCATCATTCAAAACATTCATTTTCTGAAGATAAATTTGTAGAATAAAATTTGTAATTTATTTTTAAATTTACTATTGTAATGAATGAAAGTGAGTGCTTTTACATGTTAAAGTATTCTAATTTTCTATTTGATGGAATATAGTTTAACACAATAATTTTTATATACAATACTACCTGCTACCCGCAACTTTGCACAGATTTTTCAAGCAAACCTCATTTATATTCACTATTTCAACAACCATAGTAATTGTTATATAAGACCTTCGCTGAGATTGATGAAAATAAAACGAACTATTTTCAATTTAATCAATTTTTTGAAACGTTTAATATTATTCCATAATCGAAGCAATATGCAATAAAAAATTCGAATTTAAAACGGTTCGAACATTTGGTTTAAAATATCGTAATATATAAAAATATTTATAATAATGTCCGAAATGTTTTCAATTTAATACAGTAAAAGACTAAACGTAGTTGAAAACAAACAATCGCATCTAAAATAGTACAGTAGAAGCTGTTCTTTAAGTTAAGATTTAACCCTTTCCTTCTCCCCTCGCGGAGGAATTTCCAAAAATCCCTTCTTAGTGTGCATTCTCATGGCGCGGGCACAGCTTGTTTTATATGTTTAGATTAGTATGAATTCACTCTCGGTTAGGCGCACAGGGAACAACAGTTTCTCAGCCTTGTTTAAATACGTGTAGTTTTGGTCTACTCAATTCCGAAAAATAATGTTTATCTCCTTTCAAGTGACTGAAGATTGGACCAAAAACGATCAAAAGTTGTACGAAATTTATTTTTTTATACGAAGCGAGAGCAAAGTTTGCTAAGAAACAGATGGATTTTGCATTTCATACAGTACACTCTAGCTCATACTCTTTTACATACTTTTATTAGGCAACGGTGATTTTGCCATCGGCACTGATTTCTGGCATCGGCACTGATTCTGATTGGTTCGATTATAGAACGATTGTAAACGTTCCAGAAACGTTGAAAACCGTTCGTTTGACCGGACGTGAACAGGAGACGTTCAGAAAGAAAATCGGGACCAGGTCTCTAATTAGTCTGGAAACGGGGGACCTAATCCTTGCATTCTGTGAAAACGGGTAAGATTGACTATAATGTAATTATCTTAATCTTCACTATCGTTACTTTTTGCCCACAAATAGAAACCCAGCGAAGCGGGTCCTTGCACCTAGTAATTTATAATAATTTTATAATGAAGTTTTTTCGCAAATCCGTTCCTCACATTATTGATGCTATCAGCAAATAATCTGCGTTTTAACCTCTAATTCCAGTAGAATGTTAGGTGATGTGTTTACTAAAATATTTTGGCCTATAGTATATTTATCCTAACTTGGCACCCATTTTAAACAAACTAAGACACACGACCCATTGTTTATTGGCTTAAACCGACGTCCATCAATTAGAAACCGCGTTGCATTTCATTCGTCCGCAGAAAATATTTCTTTGTTAGTTATAAAATCATTAATTAAATACTAGTCACTTAGCAATGATTATAAATGTAATTATTTTATACTTGTTAAATTGTTATTTTAATGAATTTTTGCACATTTTGAATCACTAAAAATAAACTTTTTCCGGTAATGCGCACTATAATGTCTTGGTTTCGTTTTCCATTCATTGCAATAACTATCATTATTTCAAACTGTGTGTTGTCGAACAAATAACGGAAGAAAGATGGAGAAAATGTATCGAACATATAGAAAAAGAAAAACAACGAATGTGGAAACTTGATGAGATTTCGGAAACTGTTGTAGAAACACTGATTATGTAGTCGAACACAAGTAGTGACGAAAGCGATATAAATGATTAATTTGAGCAACTATCTTCTGATACAGATGATTAATAAGGTAAATTTACACTAATTATTTTTGCAAATTTTTAATTATATAAATATCACACAGATAAATTCACACATTACCGTAACATTTTCCTTTAGGGGTTTGAGTATGATTTTTAAGGATTGTTTTTTGTTTTGTTTTATATCTATTTAATAAAATAGTTGTGTAGATAAAATGTCTGAAGTCTGTTCAACTACACAATTATAAATATGTTTCGTATAAGTCTTAATAATATAGACTATATTTAATAATAATTTTTGACAAACTATATTTAAACGATGGAAATAATTTAAACAACGGCTACGTAAAAATGTTAAAGTAGGCTATAATAAGTTTTCTAAGTATTGTATTTCTAAGTATAATAAGTTTTCTTTCGGTAATTTTTAAATTGTGACCACTGACCTATTTTAACACGTGCAGAGAAAGAGGCTTAACTGGGCAACACGTGTCTAGCCACTTCCGATTGTGATTTGACCAATGAAAATCTCCGGCGGATTAATACGACAAAATCTTTGTTTACAGAAGGTGCCAAGTTACGATAAATAAACTATAGAGTTTGTGAAAATACACTTATTGGCTTAAACAAAGTCAACCCACTTAAAGAAAAGCGAGTCACAGCTTAGATTTCACGATCCACTTAGCGCTAATTGCTTTACAATATTAGGGGACGGTCTTTCCCGAAATATTTAATGCCAGGGGTGGTGACAAAATATTTATTAGAGAGGTTGCGGCCGACGTTTTCAACGCGAAAACGTGTACGTCGGACGTTCAGCGCCGCCTTCCTGCGAGCCTAGAAGTTTGACAATGGCGTTTGGAACGTCAGTAGAATCGTGCTCGACGTTCCAGACGCCATTGTCAAACTTCTAGGCTCGCAGGAAGGCGGCGCTGAACGTCCGACGTACACGTTTTCGCGTTGAAAACGTCGGCCGCAACCTCTCTATTATTTGAGACATACGTGAAACCGAATAAGAGTTTAGATAGGTCGCGTTTCTTTATGCAGCACTCGAGAAGCGCTTTACAGCGAACACTCTGAAACCCGTTTCTAAATGCAGCGCTGCAATGTAGCGAACCGTTTCTAAACCTTTGCTGCAAGAGGTCGCTGCAGCGATGATAAAGTAGTTTTTACGTCCGCTACAGGTGTAAAGCAAAATGGACGCTTGTGTGTATAATACGATATTATGCTGTAAAAATAAAAAAAGTCGAAGTTACTGTTGATAACAATATTAAGGAAAGTTTAAGAAGGATTAAATTTTATAAAATAACTCTGAAACATGTCTAAAGAATAAGAAAATACTATATTTTAAATATAATTATATATCTTCTATCTCTACTTTATTCACATTTATTCACAATGATCAATTCTTTGTATCTCTTTATTTAAATATTGTAGTTCTTTAACTAAAGCACTACTTTCGGCTGTAACTGAAATTTAAGGATAGATTATAGCATTTCGCTCGAGCGGAAAGCGTTTCTAAATTATGATGCAGCGACGTGTAGCGATAGCTGCTCGTAATGTCATTTTCGCTTCACCCTCTCTGCATAAAGAAACGCGGCCATAGCTACAAACTTAATTTAATTTTGTACAAAAAGCTTCGAAATTTGATTTTTTTTTAAATTAAATTTCTGAAAATTAATGCGTTTTTGTTTTCGTTATAAAATAAATAAAAATGATGTATTTCGAGTAGCATTTCTTCCAAGAGCTTTCTTCCTAGCCAAGGGTTTAAAAAAACTTAAAAATGGCACTTTTTATACAAAAGTTACAGACAGTATATAGCAGGATGCACATATGCGGCGCGGCAAGGAAAACCGGAAGAATGACGTCACTTTTTCTCGCCGTAGAAGTCGATTTTGTGCCGCTTTTCTCGTGCCGCAAAAGTTGGTTGAATTTTATCTTTTGCGGCAACCGTTTCTATCAGCCAATAACAATTCGTCCAATAGTCACGTGAGAAAATATAATCACGTGGTGTTTTAATGGCGGAAAGTTCGACGCGGTTAACCGAGATAACTAAAATCAGAATAAAGAGGAAAGGATAACAAATTTAAAACAAATTCTACACAAAAATAATCATATATAATTTAATTCAAACAACAAAACAACCGAATCTTACTCGAAATAGTATTTTTTTTATCGAGGAATAAGCGTATTTTGTACACCAGTTCTTTATCGACCCAAGAAAATATCTCTAATCCAAAATCTTCGTTCGAATCTTCTAACTAAATAAAGCAAGCCGTACAAAACAAAATTTGTAAACACGTGGATAGCGACAATATCGGTATCGTTCGCCATCTTAAATACTAAACGCATGCGCCGAAATGAAAGTTGATTGCCGCTTGTGTAACTGTGCTGCCGCGCGGCGAAGATGCGTTTGCAACACCTCTTTTCCTTGCCGCGCCGCATGTGTGAATCCGACTTATTACCACCACGGGCAAATGCGGCTCTTTTTGACTTACATGCGGCTCTTGTTTAAAGTGTTAATTTCTGCTTTTTATTATTATTTTTACAATTTTATTTCCACAATTTTGTGAATATATATTTATAAAAAAAAAGTCAATATTTGTTTTATATTATATTTATATTATATAATAATATCGCGATACAGAACTGCGGTACAGAATAAAAAATAAAGAACTGTGGCTACCATGCATTTTACAAAACCTATATTTCGGCTTCCACTGACCTCTTGCTTTGCCCACGCTCGGTATATTTCGTTGTATATTAATAATAAAGCATGACAAAATCTGTAAACTTTTCATAGTGTACAAAATCACCTCGCACTAAACTGCTTATTTATTATCTTTTATTTGTATTTATTTATTTATTCGTATTTCTGTTTCTAGTTTTACTTAATGTTATTATTTATCATTACTTATATTATAGATAATTTTTTTAAGCTTTTAGTGAGTTTCACGCGTATGTAAAATATAAAGAAGTAACTAATATGTTCAGTGATATCTTAAGTAGATATACCACAAAATTAAGACTGAATAGCAGCATGTAATTCCAAAATGCATTTTCTTTTATAATATATAAACAATCAAATCTACTTTTTCCTTCTTACAAATGTTCCTGTGTCATAAGTTCTCCGTAGCAATTTTGTTCTTAATTGCAAAGAACAAATAACAAACAAAAGAACAATAACCAATCAACTGATAAAGCTCAAAAAATTTCACTAAGTAAACTGAATTTGTTTTTGTAAAAAAACTTATGTAGAGAAAAATATATTTCGAAACAATTATGACGACAAAACTTATTACAAATAATTATAATAAGTAAATTTAAGGCTTATGGCTGCTAATTATCGAATGACTGAAAGAACTAACTTACAAACAATTACTTTTTGTTTTCTATTACTACTTCTGTTTAAATGAACGATGAAGTGTTGTTTTATAAATGAACTTTACAGAATAAAAGGATTTGCATGTAAAAATGTCACCTAAAAGAATCTGAGTAGCAATTTTAAAAGATCTTTTACAACTTACATAACTTTTTTTACATTATGATATTCAAGTAATTTTTAAAAGATTAATTTTAGACATTTTCTTTACTTACTTTGGAAAAAGATGCGACTTGTCCCTGTTGATGTACTTTTTTCATGTGTTTTTTTAGATCATGTTTATATTTGAAAGTTTTTCTACAAATATCGCACGAAAACGGTCGATTTTCCCCATGAGATGTTAGATGTATTGTTAACATGGATAAGCAAGAAAAACTTTTATTACAGTTATCACATTTATGAACTTTCTCTAGTTGTTTTGGTGGAATCTAAGTATAAAGTAATTTATACGTTACAGTATCAATTTATTACACATTAAAAATTTGATATATTAATATTTTAAAAATGAAGTGAATATACAGTAGAACCTCCATTATCCGGACCTCCATTATCCGGATTTTCGGTTATCCGGATTGTTCAAAATAAATAAAAATTTTACGAATTTTCTGATTTGCACTTGGCGAATTACGACACTGTTTATGTACGTGATGGAATGCATAACTTTTTTTGTTTCAACAACGTCTCACCC